GCCGCGGGGAAAGTTGTGCCTGAGGGGACCCACAGGGTGTTATTGAAGGTAAACAAGTCGGAGGGCACGTCAGGAAATTAGCAAACAATGACACCGGGGAGCCGAGCCCTCTCGGGGGTGCCGCCGCCGTGGCCGCCGCTGGGCTGAGGTGGCTGACGGTTTGCCTGGCCGGCAGGCCGACCATATACTGAGATTTGTTTTTGTTTTCATTTTTCCACCCCGCAAAGAGAAGGGAGGGGGAAAAAGATGATCATTGTTCTTTCTAAGAAGAATCAGCTCATTAGGGATCCAAGCTGAAAACAGAAATTGTTGACATACAGCATCTTTTCTAGTTGAGTGGTTTGGGTGGAAAGGTGTTTTAAGACTAGATCGCCTACCAGTCAGCCAAAGTGTCATTACAAGAAAGAAAGAAAGAAAATCCCAGCTAGGTCCTGCCGACTAACAGGTGTACAGCACACTCTTTATGCTTTTCTTTTTTTTTTTTTTTTTTTTTTTTTTTTTGTCCGGGGAGGAGAAAGTTGAATAGTGTCTCCTGGGTTCTGTTACTTATTCGAACTGATCTTCCTGATCTGAGTCTTTTTTTAAAAAATGATGACAACTCAAGATAAGGAATACACCTGTCAAAATGTCTTGTGTCACCTTAATAAACGAAAGGGGTGACATCCCTCCACCCCCATGGTAATGTCACGGGCCCTAATACTTAGTTTCAATCCACCTTCTTTAAATATCTATGAATCAACTTGAGGTCAAAGCCAAATCACAGAACCTGTCCACTTTCCCTGAGTGATTTTTATCTAGCATTGGCATTAGAGTAGAGAACCACGTGATTGTTCCAAGGACCTGAGAATTCACGTGTAAACAAATGGATATTGGAGGGTGATTTCAAGCCATCAAGTTTCTCAAACTCAGCTAAGCTGAAAGAAGGATTCTATGAAGCCTACTTTTGGTTAGTCTGGAAATGGTTTAATTATAGACATTTTGAGGATCTGCTCATCTGTGTTTCCCCTAATTTAGTTTTGTACTGTTTAATGATAGAGGCCTGAAATAGTGTATGTATTCAAAATATTTGGCTCTTCTTTCTTGGTATACCCCACCCCACCAACAAGGATGTTGATTACTCGGTTTTTGTACTTTGTAAATCTCTCCATGTGTAATGGCCCTGTTGATACAATGTGCTCCATTCAGGACTAGGGGCTGCTTTTCTGTCTATGACCTCCGGGAACTGACTACTCTGTCTTAAAAGAGAGGGCAGTTTTGTCACATTGTCCTGTGAAAGCTTGGATAGTTGATGGAAAGAGACCTCTCTTTTCATACCCGAGTGATTCCACTTTGTAAAGTTACCAAAGTTCTGTAGCTTCCACAGGAAATTTTAAGATGTTGTATTTGAAAATCTGATATAGCAAGTTCTTCCTTCTTTTTTTTAAGATGAGTTTGATTCTGCTGTGCAGGTGCTTTTCAAAAAAATTTTTGAAGGAATGCTAAAACTATTTTGTGTTCAATAAAGTACAGTAGTTTAATGCAAAAGATTAACTTATGTGAAAGGTAAAAATCTTGTTTCTTTTCGAAGTATCCTCTTTTTTTTTTTTTAAATAACACATCAGTATCTTTTTGGAAAAAAATGTGCTTACTTTGAAGCTTAGATGCTCTGAGTAAACTGAGTCAAGAGGTAGTTTTGAAGCAAACTACTAGTGAGATGCTCTCAAAAATGGGCAGTGGAAATAAATTTGGGAGACTCCCCTGGCCCTCAAATCGGCAAGATTTTTCTTTTTCTTACAAATGTCTTTGCTGTCTCAGAGAAAAGAAACCTGATAATTGGTATCTGAGGGCAAACTTTACTGTGAAAACTAACCAAGCATAGCTGTCTGTAAAGTCAAAGTAATGTTTAAAGTTTGTGTACTTCACAGAGAGCCAAGTTTGAGTGGTTTCTGTTGACTACAATCTCTGTGAGAGTCTTGAAAATATACCTGTAAGTTACACATATAGAGAACGGGAGTCTTGAATTGCTTATTCCTCTTTCTTGAAATCATTAAAATTCTAATTTTCGGTTATTTTCTCGTGCCAGATTATCACCATGAGGTGTATAAGATCTCAGAATTCAGCAATGATGTTAATGGGGAGACCAAAGAGACACAACCCATTTTTTTAGGTAGGTTCCTATGTCAATTAATTTCTCAGCAAAACAGCATGGTGTGGCCATTTGCAATTTCAGGGGCAGGGTTGGGGGAAGAGATTGTGCAAGAAGGGGAAATGTCTGCCATCGCTTAATGTATGACATTCTTTTCATTCAAGACCTTTTATTTTACAGATTGCCAATATATCCCTTATTAACATTGCTAAAAGTTGTAATTTCAGACATAAATGTTTATTAGTGTCTACACACAGTGCTAATTATCACTCAGTCACAGAGCCAGATGCTGACTGCGCAGTTTTGTCGCTCGGTGCTCACCCCATTTACATTGCATATTCGCTGGCATGCTTCACTGGCAATAGTTTGTGTAATTGGGGTATTACATCTTTGACATCTGGATAACAGAAATTCAATTTCCAGGAAGCTGCTATTTGTTTGGTTTTGCTTCTGCCTTGGGTGGGATAGAGGATTAATGTGCTGTCTTATTATAATGTCCCTTCACCTCTATGGCCTGGTTGCTAATCCTGCCATGACAAAATTAAATTAAATCTACAGTCAAAAAGCGTAAGGAGGATAAAAGTGTGATTGTCTGCCTAACCACCTCCTGATAATGCCAGTTACTACCAAACAGCTTTTTGTTTCTGGCTGCATCCTTCTCACTAATACCTGTGGTCAGAGAGAAGAGCGCTGCTTGTCACCTGTCACTGTCCTTCCTGGTTTTCCTACCTCAGGGACAGACAGAGCAAAGGCAGCATCCCATAACCCTACTGACAAGTGGCATTGCCAGAAGGGTAGCCTGTTTGCCAGGTGTAGCATGGCCATCAAGTATGTATGTGAAGAATCTTGCATATCCAGTTGTTGTCTGCAGCCTTTGAGCCAAAAATCAAACTGTCTAGGATGTTCCCTCTCAGAGTGCTTAACAAGGCAAAGTGCAGGGAAAATGGTGACATTTGGCTTCAACTTTGTCCATCCTGGACTCTCTACAACCCCAGGTAGTAGGGTAAGGGCCAGGTACTGTACAACCAGGAGGCAGAACACGTGACAAAGTCAGGGTAAGAGCCGTTGAGAGCAAGAGCCAGAACTACCCAGTGACTGGGGATGGGGATGCCTGTGGCTGGATTGCTGTGTAGACCCCATTGGTAGTTTTTTTTAGATGAAAACATTTTAACAGTTTCGAGATAGTGTTTTCTCTCTGTTTTGGTCTAAGGAAGAGAAAGGGAGCGGAGGGTGTAAAGGGCGGGCCAGGCAGAAGTCTCACTCACAAAGGTAATATCAGGAAACATAGCAGCCCTTCCAGAACAATCCTAACAGGTGTTCAGATCTTTCTAATAAGGTAGAGAACATTCCCAAGACCAACACCACTCCTAGTACAAATTGGCTGTTGTGAGCACTGAACACCAAAAATCAAGTGAGGTGCTAGGACCCAGAAAGAGACATGTCTCACTTTGGACTCTATTCAGAGCACTATCCTGGGTCAGATGAGTTCTTTAGGGACCACTTGATGTAGCCATTTGAGAAGATGAATTTGCCTTCTGGTAGAAATTTTACATTTCTCATGTAAGTGGAACATCATGTTCTGGATTTAGTTCTTGTGCAGCAAAAGTCTCCTCGAAGCTCCTTCCTGTTAGTTGCTTGAAAAATAGTGATGATGCTGGATAGTCATGACTAGTGAGACTGGAAGAAAGGTTGAAGAAGAGCAGGATGCTCATACTTTTGATTTAGTAAAATGCAAGCTCTTAGACAGGGCAAATGTTCTTTCTTCCGTATCTGAATTGAAGATAAAAGAACCAGGCGTGAAGTCATCTTGAAAGTGGTTTGTAGAAGGCCTTTGGAAACAACAGCTCAGAGACTAAGTAAGTACCTGTTCTGGGGAAGTTCAGATATGCTTCCCAAAGAATTAAAAAGAAGTGCAGATCATTTGGAAACATGATTTCTAGAGCAAGAAATTCCAGATAACATCTGAAATTAAGAATTTTGTTGTTGACCGTGTTACGATTTATGTTATTCTTCTTAAAACATAGATTTATATCAGGCTTGTTCCCTAATATTACCTAGGGTGTGGCGCTAGGAGAGTTGGATACTTACATATTTGAGAAGTGTATACCTGTAAAACATACTCGCACATAACTCCCGTGATTTACGTAGGACTTTCAGTATTCAGACATGTGTGTTTTTTATATCGCTCTGCATCTATGAGATCCAAATACAAGTCTCGGGAATAGGGAGTCTCTTAGAGTTTGGCAGAGCTTCCCACATCAAATCTATTTCCTTGGACTATGTAGGCAGCTAACTAACGTAACATACCCAGCGTGGTAAAGTATCTCCCTAGAATGATGGCTTGTGTAAGTGCTTTGGGAATTACTCACATGCTTTTGATTTGATTAAGGGTTATAAGAGGTAACTTTACCCTGTGGACTTTGACTTTCTCAAAGCTAGCCCTCTGAAACTACAGTGAAGATTTGAGCACTGTTTGAAGGGAAATAATGTGTTTCATCAATTCAACAAGTGTTTCTGTGAGGAAATAACTGTGAGCTGAGCCCCTTTCTGTAATGTGAATGGGATCAGAAATGGATAGGACAGAGACCCTACTCGAGGACTCAAATCTTTTAGGGGGTGTGGAAGCAGTAAGGTGCAGTGTGCAGCAGTCACTACAGCAGAGGGTTGAGTGAAGTGTGCAAGGCTCTTTAGATCAATGTTCTGATTTACTCCTCACAGCGTACCTGTAACAGTGTCTTCACCCTCATCTTTGATAAGGCGTAGGGCAAGTTTGACCTGAGCTTTAAACACTCCACCAGGAGTCTCTCTCTTCCTGAACAGTAATTAAAGGACAGTTGGAAATGAACAGGGAAAGGAGCAAGAGCTAGTTGGAAGGGTAGGGTGGGGAGCTAGACCTTGAACTGCAGAGATTTGCATAGGCAGAAGATTCCTGGTGAAAAGGGTGGTAATGGCCAGCACAGAGTGATAAGCAGATAGGCATCTTTACTGTTAGAACTAAAGTGGGTGTTGCATGGAGAGTGTATTCTCCTGTTATCTGAGAATAATCAGGGCAGTTGTTGTTATTTCCATAATAATGGAACCAAAGCTCAGGTGAAAGGTTGAGCCAAGTGACAGGTTATTGAGGCTTTAGCCCCTTCTTATACGTTAGATTTTAATTCAGATTTACTTTTGTGGTATGTTAATCTGAGGCATGTTTCTTCTTTGGGTGTTCAAGCCTCATTCTTTTATTCACTTGGTAAATATTTCTTGAGCTCCAATTACATTTGCGCCAACCCCTGTTTGTCTTGTTCTTTTTCATTTCATTAGTAACATAGCTTTCAGCAGATGAAGCAGTGATGCCTTTGACTGGGGTTGAGAGCTTTGAATTCGTCATCTCTTTCTTGATGAGAACTGCCTCTACCACGGGCTGCAGGATCTCAAGAGAACACACTGAGAAGACACCACCTCTTCAAACTAGAAATTTAGTCCCTGACCACAGTGCAGGGACTGTTCCCTGGGACAGCCAATCTTTACTTAGGGATTAGGTAGCCTGGGTCCCACCTCAGTTCTTGGATGGCCTCACAAAGTACTGCCTGGGACCATCCCAAAAGGACAGAACCCTTGATGTTTCATCAGATAGCATGCCGAGAATTGAATGTAACCTGGGGGTAAAGGGAACCAAGAATATGGAAAAAGACAGAATCCTCAAATACCAGCTTTTGGGATCTAAAATGTTTCATTCGGGCCTCTTAACAGAAGTTTCACCCTCAGCACCACACCCAGTTATAGTCTCTGTACCTGGTCTTTTTCTTATCAGTGCTTCTCTCCCTTGATGGTACAGTGAGGGGGCATCTCTGTGTGCTAGGAATATGGCAAATGTAGGTACCACTTACCAAAAGCCAGATGCAATATAATGCTAAGAACTTGGTAAGTTATTCCATTCATTGTCCTAATAAAAGTACTGTCATTCCTATTCTTAGGAGAACTGGAGAGTTTACAGAGTTGCTTGGTGGGAGAACTGGGATGCAAACCAGTGTGACTCCCCACAAATTCTTCCCTTGACCACATGTTATGCTTATTCAGATGCACTCACCTGCAGGGTCCCCAGCATGTACCGCTGATAAAAGGAAAGCAGAGCTGTCCCAATGAGTGAAGGAGACCCAGAGAGCCTCACATACCCCTATAATAGTCCTCTGAATCTCCGGCTTGTTGGAGTACTGCAGTCATTGTTTAGTAAACCTTGAACTCCATGTTTCCTAAGGTTGCAATCAGCACCAAAATGTGATCATACTCCAGGATCCCCTAGAGACTTCAGGAACACTTGCAGCCTTCTTCATTGTTAGCAAGTCACCTGTGTCATTAGATGTATTATACCTTTGGATGCAGACTTTGTCTTTCTTAAGCTGCTACTGGGCTATCTAGAGTGGGGGGGAGGCATTTGTAGTTAGTCTTGTCTCACTGCTTTCATTTTCATGTAATTACTACCACTGCTAGACTTGGAAATAGACCTTGGTCCACCTCCTGTTTTACAAATGAGAGACTTATCTCAGGGATAAAAGTGACTTGCTTAAGCCTTACAGTTGCTAGCAGTTGACCATGGTTAAAATAAGGTCTGTAGACACCTGTTCTGAGATCTTTGGCCCTGGCAGAGTTGCTGCTAATCCTTTTCCTCACTGCCCCATTCTACTCACATGAGCTGTTCTGACTGAGTGGCTCTTCTCTTCAGGTACTATAGAATCAAGTTGGTTTCTCTTAACTGAGCATGCAGCATCTAATGTCCAAATTTGCCATAACCTCCCTGCCTCCTGATGCCTGCTCCCCAGTAAGTAGGACCTCTCAGATGAAGATGGGCACCCAGGTAGGAGGTTGTTTATAACACAGAGCTGGAGAAGCTCGGGAACCACACAGAAAGAGAGGGTTCTTCATGGTCTCCTGTGTGCTTGGCACTTCCACACTTTCAGTCTTAACTCACACTGCTTCTGAGCAGACATTTCCATTTGTAGAGGAGAGAAGTGGGTCTGTAGAAGTGTATACTAGCCCCA